CCCCAACCCCAACCCCAACCCCAAACCCAAACCCAACCCCAAACCCAAACCCAAACCCAAACCCAAACCCGATCACAGAAGTATAAACTGTGTCAATTGAGAGCTTCTTTTTTTTATGAGGCTTTAATAGAATTGTGGAGTTTAATTAGAATCAAATTTAAAATAAACTTTCAATAAAATAATACAAAATAATGAATATTTGCTATCATCATTTATTCTTAATATTAATTATAATTGAAATTTTTATTAATTATTTATAAAAATTTCTAAAGTTAATTAAAATGGATTTTTTTTCTAAGAATTTATCTCCATTTCATAAGTTATGAATATATCAATGGATGCTTTGCTAAGAGTACTCTGATATTAAGCTTTTATTTTCTGAAGCAATTTAATCTGGCCAAGAGGCCATGAAATTTTATTTGATCCTTTAATTACTTTTCCGAAGCCTATGAAATTTTTTGAGAAAATTCGACAATTCAACTCAACTATCTTTAACAATTATCAAGTATTGCTTAATTCTTCTTAGTTGTAATCTCTAATTATCAAAAATTAACATTAATCATGGATATTATAAATATGATAATAAAACTTTAAATTTGAACTTCAAAAGAAATTAGGATTTTATTCAGAAAATAAAAATAAATGTTCGAAAATTTAGTATTTTTGGTTAATTGATAAATAAAATAAATGCAAATTTGAGTTGTCATTAAGAAGATAAATTGAAAATAAAAATATATAGAAACGATGACTTATCTTAATTATCATTACGAGTATTCACCTTGATCTAACCTATACTATATGCACTTGCCAATACAAAGTCAATCAAATTTCTCTATATTCATAACTTTAATTTTGAATCTCAAGGATTACCAACAGAAAACAAAGATTATATTTTTATTATTCAAAAGATTTATCATACATTAAAATAAGAAGGATGCATAAATTAATGATTATAATTAAAATAACATATAAAATCAATGTAATCTATCCAATCCTAAACATTATCCATCAACTAATACACAATAGCTAAAATTGAAGAATACTTCTTTAGATTAGATTAAGAAGTAGAAGTAATTTTATTCTTCATTTATTTTATAGTTAGCATTCACAAAAATTGATGAATCAATAGACTCAATTCTTTTCATTCCCTTTAAATTTGAGATTCCTTAACTTTAAACCTAAATTCCTTAATTTGTTTAATTATCTGAATCTGACTTTAACTTCACATCACAAATCCTTGAAAGCGTAAGCCATTTAATAAAGTAAATGATCTAAAATAAAATTAACAAAAAACAATAAAAGTTAAATCAATAAGAAGAAAACCTATTATAAAGAGATTCATAAATAAATAATAATTAAGAAGAATATATTAATAAAAACAAAAATTTTTTGGAAGAAGATATTGATTCTTAATAACTATAAAATATTCAATTTGATAGCATTTTGATTGAAGGTAATTAAGAAAATAATAGTAAAATACAAAAGGAAGTGATCTAAGTAGATATGTAATAGAAATAATAAGAATAATAATTAATAATCAATTAACAAGTTGAACTTAAATTAATTGATGATTCTAATTAATAGAGTGGTTATTGTTTTGCTATAGTTTTTGATACAACTGGATAAATCATGATTTCATGTGAGTATGAAAAGATTAAAATTTGGAATTTTGAATAAGGAAGATTAAAATTAATTAATACATATTCAGAACATAAAGATACTGTTACATGTTTGGTATATAGCAAAGTGAGAAATAACTTTATTTCTGGTTCTCATGATAATACTATCATCTGTTGGCAATAAATTAATCAAAATGACTGGAAGTGTTCATAGCCATTCAAATAACATAATAAAACAGTTAATTGTTTGATGTTAAATAAACAGGAGGATCAACTTATTTCAGGAGGTTGTAATCATTCAATAAAAGTTTGGAATGTAGATTTTATTAAGAATGAATTGAATTTTCAGTATTCATTAGATAAACATAGTAATAGTGTCGAATCATTCAGTTTTAATTCATCTGAAACTATATTAGTATCATGTGGATATACTGATTTTATCATATGGGAGAAAGGAGCATAAGGAAAATGGGAATTTAAATATAGAAAATATGTTTCAGATTCTGGACATAAAATATATTTAATTAATGATCAACAATTACTTTGGGTAACCTTGAGTGTTAGTGTTGATGATATTTTGGTGTTTGAAATATAGAATGGAATCTTTTAATAAAATATTAATAAAACTATCAAATTGAATAAGAATAATGAATGTCTAGATGATAGCTATTTCCCAATTATTCAGAATAAAGATAAAAATATAATATTGGTAAGACATAAACATTATATCTATCTGATTAGGCAATTAAATTATGGCACATTTAATATTACAGTATCATTAGATTGTTAAAATGATAAGATTTATGGAACTATGACCAATAATGGATAGTATTTGGTATTTTGGGATAATAAATAAATGAAATATTAATCATATGAGATATTAAATAAATGAATTATATATAAAAAGAGTTTATTGAGATAATTTATTACTTATCATTAAATAACTCTAAATTTTATTCCACTTATTATTTTAGCAAAAATACTAATTCGCTATTATTAAATTCATCTTGTTTAAAAATATATCCTGTAAGTTTAACTTTAATTAAAAAGTATATATTTTATTTTATATAAAAAATGTGTATATAGTTTCTAATCAATTCTAGATTATTTTAACTATAAAGTAAAGATTAATTTTAGTATTTCCAAATAAAGTAGTGGAATAGTCAGGAAACATTTTTGGAAATTTTCTACTAAAATCAAAAAATTGTTGAACATTAATTCAATTTAGAATATTAAGAGAGGAAGGAGTAAAAATCTACACAAATAATCAATTAATAGGAGAAAGGAAGCTATGAATATAACTATATCTTGCAAACAATCGATTTTGATTAAAGAAATCATAAATTATGAAATATGAAAACTTTATATCTCCATATTAGGATTAAAAAAAAGAAGCAATATATGGGAATTATGAATAATGTTTAAATCATTTAAAGGTAAAATTAGAATTATCTTAAAATATATATAAACTCATTATAAAATGCTTTTAAAAAAAATCTAATTAAATTATTGGAGATAAATTAGGATTTCATTTAGGCCAAACTAAAAGTTTCAGAGCAAATTAAGATCACTTCAAATCAGAGAAATTGTACTTATGTATTATGTTTATAGATTATTTTGTTAAATTAATATATAAATTTAAATAGTTTATTTATTTATTTTTTTTGAAAACTCCTACCAAAAAAGAAATTTAGATACTATAAATAGAAGTAATAAAAAGTTACTAGAACTTCGAAGTTTGAGAAGAAGCGAAATCCTGAAAAATTAACATAGAAATTTCACAAGTAAAATAAAATTTACATTCATTTAAACAGGACGAGTCAATAAATTAAAATATATTGAAAAAATAAGTTTAAATGATATAATTTAATAGATTAATAAACCTCAAGTATCTAATTGCTCATTCCATGATTTTTGAAACCAATATGAAATTATGTAAACTCCTCTACATATCATATATTTTTTATGAAATTCTTTTGACCAATTGAATTAATTTTCCAGTTTAATTTTTTCAGCTATCTTTGTTTGTCCTTCTCTTAAGGATGAGACAATTGCAAATGTATTTAAACTTGTTTTTAATATCATATGCAACATTTATGGGACATAAAATTTCCAATAATGAACATAATAGCTTATTTGAAATTATTATCTTTAATCAATATAAGTTAATCGATATTAATTTTAAGATTTTTTAATTTCTATTCTTACATATATCTATATTTAATTTTTTCAATTCAACCTTTTTTGATCCTGCTACTTATCTATATAATCTTTGTTAGGAAAATAAAAATAGTTGCACAATAATTCTAATTATATTATTGATAAAAAGAGATATCTAATGCAACAGTATTCTTTTTATAGAATTTTTACATTAGCCAAGTGAAATTTAAATAGAACTCATTTTTCTAAGACCTCATGCTTCCATTTCCAATAGCCAATACGCTATTCTGGTATATTATAAAGTAAAGAGATAAATATGATCTCTGTGTCAAAGCATCAGTTTCTGATATATTTGAGCCCCCTAATACGGTCATTAGAGCAAGGGATGGTATGATCTGAAAGTATTTTGTGCTTCATCTATGCCAGAAACTCAAGTCCATGTGAGGATAAGGGTAAAATATTTGTTTAATGGTATTAATTTTCTATCAATAAATCAAACTTAGATAACTCAGAAATGTGAATCCAGATCATTTTAATTTTACAATTACCATCCATCATAATGCAAATTGAATTTTCTACAATTCATTTTCAAATGGGAAATCGGACGGAATCCAACTTTTCTTTCTGCCAATTACCCCTATTCTTTTCATAACCCTTTGAAACTAATCAAAGAGTGAGATTTAGTCTTGAAAATAATTTACTGAATCGAAATAAGAATCTGATTTGAATTATGAAATTTAATTAAATAGAAAAACCTTTAAATGCTCTACAATTGACTCTAACTATTTGAATATACTTTTCTTATTTATTTTTTCAATAATTAAAATGAAATGATTTGTATATTTTATTAAAATCAAAAATCAAAACCAAGAAGACTAAATTGGTCAAACATCAATCACATAAATCCAAAAATATAACAAAAACTGTATTTATTTTGGTACTAATGGTTGTATTATTATAATTATTGCTTTTTTATACAAAAGCTATTCCATATTGAGTATATTAAGAACTTGATGGATGGAAGAATAAAGATACACTATCACAATTTAACAATTTCCTTCTTAAAATGTTACAGAAATAATAAGATTATTGACTCTTTTAAGTTTAGTAGAAGTATTTTCAATTATAAACTTAAGTAGAATATGAGGTAGTAAATGATCAAAATAACCTTTGATTTTTATGACCTCTAGAATTCTATAATTTAAGTTATTATCAAGCAATAATTTAGTAGTTTCTGCTAATGTAAACCTGTTCATCAAAAAACATTTCCCTGCATTAGTTCTATCCTCAGTAATTTCAACAAAAAAGCCAACATATCATTTAAAAAGTGTTTGTAGTTTTTGTCGAATAGTAAGCTATAGCTAGAAAGCAGTTGTTTTAAATAAATAAGTACCCCTTACTGAGTAGAGGTTGTTATAATATTTGGAAGTTTTTAAAATTA